GATTATCTACGCAGTCGCAAAGCGGTATATAAAATATTTTTGCTTTACCATGGTTGTTGTTGAAAATAAAATAAAAATGGATGATCTGAAAATCTACAGCTGCGTATTTAATTGTTTATTCTGATAACATTTTTTTAAATACTAGCTATTATGAGAGAGAATTAGCCTGGATCTTTAGACATTTTAATAACAGTCATCACGGTAAAAACGCAAAATGTAAGGAATTAACCTCAGAAGTGAGTTTTGCAGAAATAAGGCTGTTATAGATAATCCAGGTCGAAAGCTTTCATAAAAATTATAGTAAACTTTAGAAGGGATTCATATATTTAAGGAGGAATTTTCCAATAAGAAGACGTATGAGTGACTAACTAAAAGTGACGAACGAAGACTTTAAGTGCCCTATCCTATTGCCAGGAAACCATACACTATTTCATCACCTAAATAGAACAGAAACATCAGCGAATGCAACATGCAGGTACAGGAACTTTGATCTCCTTGCGAGAAAATTATTGGATTATCAGTGTGAGACGTCTTGTGAAGAGAACTTCTATTCAGCCGCCTTTCCAAAGGATTGTATAAAATATGCTGGAGCCTTGCCTTTGAAGTCACTCGTATCGATTTGGCTGTCCCAGTGTATGTAATGTCTGGCGAAAAGGCATGGATTGTGATTTTTACTTGTGCCATTTACAGTGTTGTGCACTTCGAATTGGCAACATCTTTATCAGCAAATTCCTATATAATGGCACTTAGAAGATTCGTAGCAAGAAGGGGTAGAGAAAGCATCATATATACGGACAATGGTACGAAATTTGCGAGGACGAGTAATGCATTAAACGAATTTGACTAGGAAAAAATAATGGATTTTCCTCCAACCGCCGTTTCGTGATTTGAATTTCGGGAGAGGTTGGTACGGATGGTAAAAGAACTTTTAAGACGAATTTTGGGTCCTAAATTGGTAAGTTACATTGAACTGGAAACCGTACTATGCCACTGTGAAGCAGCAACGAATTCACGACCACTAACTTATATAAGAGACGAGACGATTCAGTTTAAGCTATTGACACTTGCATATTTTATTCAAAGAGTCCCTCACAGTAAAGGATCTGGGTACTATTGACAGTAACAGTTTAAATCGTCGCTTGCAGTGTTTGCAAAAACTACGGAATGATTTACGCTCGAGATTCAGAAATAAATGTACCTAGCCATGCTAGTCCGTAGATGAGAACAAAGAGGGAACACTTTACAAGTGGGGGATATCATGCTCATTGGAACTCCGGTAAGCGCATAAACTGGTCATTGGGATTTCTCCAGGTGTTTCCGGGTACAGATGATCAGTAAGAGTGGCGAAAGTAAAAATGGCTGATGGCGAAAATATAAGACCCGATCAAAACCTGCATTCTTTAGAAGTATCTCCCCCCCCCCAGAGTTATCTCAGAATTTTCAAGCTCAAGTGTTGTCAAATCCAAATCAAGATGCAGATCCTCCCCACTACAGACAGATCTGGATCTGAAAATAGATCTGTGCCTCTTACTGAGTCTCTTATGACAGGCAGACTTATACTACTAGATTCGGAAGACAAGTAAAAGTTCCTCATCGACGAAATTTCTAATGTGAACATAGAGTATGCTGCAATTATAAAAAAAAATTGCAAGTTGGGAGAACGTTCAGGATCGTGAACGAACTCAATGAATACAATCATTATGTATTATAATGTAGATTTTTTGTGGCAACAGCTTTTATGTTTACACATATGCTTCACTTGATGATGTTATGTTTAAATAAAGTTGCCGTTGTTAATTAAAAGTGTTTTCGCTGCGAAGTTTGTTTCCATTCGTCCGTAGTTATTAAAGTAAACTAAAAAAAACCTAAGTGGTTGAAACAAATCGATGGCGCTTTGCTCGCAGAAATGAAGAAATGATGCATACAAGCATTCTTTCATCAATATGGGGAATCGTAGTGTTCCAGAAATGCACAATCCATACAAGATCTAGCATTTTGTTTTTATAAATATTTTCGAATTAGGAGAATGTCCAATACTCAGCAGTTTCTAAATTAAGAGTATTTTATTGGAACAAGAAAGTTTCTTCCCTGCAGAAAGAATATTCTATTTAAATTTGCTTCTAATGAATGAATTTACAGCTATAAAATATAATTTCAGTCTGAAATCCACTGTACTTCTCTCTCTCTCTCTCTTTTTTTTTTTTTTTTTTTTTTTTTTTTTTTTTTCATGATATGTAAACTGTCTAAATTTAAAGCATATTTAATTCTAAAAACTATAATGTAGTGACATCATTGACATATGCTGTAAAATGCCTTTCTACAAATACACCATCTTTTTTTTTTTTTTTTTTTTTTTTTTTTTTTCTCTGAGTTTAAATATTCTCTCAGAAAATTCTTCAAAAAGGTGTTTACGGTTGATCTTTACAATATGGTAACTGGTAGTTTGGCGACATTTTGGAGGCGATAAAGGTTACTACCTGGGACTTTGGTAATAATGTGAGCAGTACTCAGTTCCGATTACGCATTATTTTGTGTGAGGGAAATGAGAGATCATGGGATATGTCATGTGATATTAATGGACGAATTACGGTTCTTTAATCGAAAAAAAAAAGGGGGGAAATCGGGAAAAAATCTGGAAATTTTGTATTTGGCTTTATTCTGTGTGGTGTGAAACAGTGTTCGTGAATTTTGGATCCCATGGCCGTAACTAAAGTGAATTCGAAATGGGTAATTTGGGTATTTAGTGGTATGAAAAAGGGTAGTAATAAATGTTTCTTTAAGGTTGTGCGAGATAGAAATAAAGATGTTTTATTAAGTTATTTATTTTACCTGGTACCTTGCTGTGAAATATAAGTATGATTTTAAAGATCCTGAAACAGAAAGAAGAAAAGTTTATTGGACACGTAATCAAGATTCTGAAGAAGATTAGGTAAGTTAGTATTTTTAATTATTTGAGGATATTATTTTTATGCATTGTTCTAAATGTAAGGTGGAAGTAAAGGAATTTGGTATTATTGGGAAAATTGTTATTAGCAATGATTTAGTTTAAAGTAATTAGGATTGTAAGGAAATTTTTATTAATTTAATGTATGTGCTCATTTATATTTTAAGTAGTGTTTTTGAATTAATATTATTTTAATTAAATGATAGTTATTTTGTGAATTTTATGTGTGTAGGAATTTGGTATACGTTTTAGTTGAAGTAAACGTGCATGGAAATAATTTAAATATCTGACACTAAGTATTTGTAATGGTTGCGGTATGAATTCGTTGGTGACGTTTATAATATAATAGATGATTTAGAGGTAAAAGTTTTTGGATATTTTATTTATTTTATATTTGGAAATGTTCATATTTGGAAAGGGTAAATACTTTTTCGCGATCAGGTAATTTCATATATGTTCTTTTTACCGGGTTTAAAGATTGAGCAAATTGTCATGTATTTTCGTGAAATTTTTCTAATTTATGAGAAAAAAGCAGTGTACATGGATATAGTGAAGAGTGTGCGCAATGCCATTTTTGTGCAATTCTGGGATGTTTTTTTAAGTAAAAATAAGTCGGCGTGTACATGGTTTATGTGTATGTGTTATTTTGAAAAACGCGTAAGGAATATGGTATTGTGCACTTTTTCCCAATTTTGCAGTGAATATTTGTCATGATTAAGCAGTTTTGTTAGATAAAATTTCTAGTATAAGTGTAATTCGGCTAGTAGATTGTTGGAAGAAGTGTTCAGTAGATAAAAAGAAAAGAAACATGTCTTTACTTCGTGAAGACAAAATGGCGGCGGGGAAAAAAACATAGAGGGTTGCTGTAGGAGAATTGGTCGCCAAATTTTCGCCAAAAAAACGCCAAGTTACCATAATGTAAAGATCAACCGTATCTACATTTTGGTTAACCAATTCCATTTTAGTGTACCATTCCGTTTTGAGGACCGTAAAAATCGCCAAACTATTGTTGATGCCAGTGCTGCCAAAAATAATTGCGGCAACCCCAACGCAAGAAAGGAGGTATAATAGCAAATAACTATCTAAGATTTTATTGTTTTAATTTAGATGAAAGGTTAATTTCATATAATACTTTTTTATTATTATAATTTATATAAAAAAAGGCTAAACATAACTGAATGGAAGCATAAGTGTAAATAACTATTTCAGATCATTATTATAATTTATATAAAAAAAAGCAAACATAACTGAATGGATTCCTGCATTGCTATTTCGCTACCGAGTTATCGCTAAAGCATAATTTCATCTCGTTGGTTGTTGAAACATAATTTTCTATAATGAATGATTTCTTTGAAAAAATTCTATTGCAGACTTTTCGTCATAAGCAATTCCCAAATTGTTAAAAGCATAGGCTATCAAACAACGATTTAAAAATTAAACTAGTATTTCAATGGCGTCTTAAGAAATATAGAACTATCTAAACTTACGCAATTTGAAATCAGTGCGTACGCTAGATTGGGCGCTCTGTTAAATGGGCGCGTTTGCTAGATTTGGCGCTTTTGTGCATACATTTTCGCTGCAATTTTTTTACGGTCCTCAAAACGGAATAGTACCCATTTTAGTTATGTCTTCAAGTAGCTCTAAACCTTATTAAATACAAGAGAATTTTCATACATCCTTTAGAGATACGGAAGATGTATGTGGACCTTCAAAACCTATATGGACACACCACTAGTCTGTTATTTTAAAATAAAGTAAAGCAAGCAATTCAAGGACGTAATTATCCTGCTCTCATTTACGATTATAAATGTATATTATCATCAGCGCACAGACGGATAGGATTTTTAGTAAATTAGAGACTCGACTATCTTCAACAGTAATTACTACTATGGTTACAAGAAAAGCCACAATGAGGAAATGGTCTTGAAGTACCTGTGCAAGATTTTAAACATTTCACATTTTTCTTTGATACTTTTGATTAAATTTCATTTATCCACACCTCGGACCTGGAGCTTAATCATGTTTTATGATGTCAACTACATTATTTGCAATCAACAAACATTTTGAAAAATTTTATTTTTGTGAGCTCAATGCACAAACTTATTACATAAATGGAGAAAAAAATTGCACAGTACACAAAATTGCAGTTTTACACATGTATTAATGAATGATTAAAATGATTTAATTGCTAAAACTCTGCATATACTGTTCATACAAAGAATTATGGGGAATACATAAAGATATAATAGGAGTTATGTACAAATGCAATATATATGAGTAAAGCATTTACTTTGGAGATTCACATTTCTCAACAGAATTAGACTGAATCAGCTTAGAAGTGTAACCCAATACACATATTTCTTTTATAAAATAAAAATTAATTGGTTTTGCGTAAATTTACTAAGCAGAAGTATTACAGAAAGCAACAATGATACACTGATCCAGATATATTAGTGTAACTGTATTTAAAATATACAGAAAAACATTTCAAAGTACAAACATCAAATTTCAGTTTATTAACTGGAACGAAATTCTAAAATGACTAAAAAATTACTAATATTTTTAAAGTGTCCTATTTCACAAGGAGAAAGGAATGAAAGAAACTTAAGAAATACATAGAAGAAGTGAACATTATTCGAAACAAGCGGTAAAATTCATTTCATCAACAATTCTTACATAACATATTCTTGACTTAGTTATAAATTCATATATGTAATTAAATTACAGACTGACGTATACATTGAGTTTCATAATTACAAGAGATCACAGGAAATATGAATGTTATAAAAATATCAATTTATAACTCACTGAGCTATTTTTTGGATGTAATTTGTTTGTTCTTTCGTCTCTTCGTTATTTGAAAGCTAAAAAAATCTTCAGCTGCTGACACATATTTATGTACATTTTAGCATCATTTTTTTTTAAAGACCTAATTTAAAAGCATGATTAAAATGCAGTATGTTTCTCTTGAATATTTTATACATTTACTTTCTGCACTGTTTTAACAAATTCCAGATCCTAAACACATCACAAAAATATACACATTAGGTATGACATATATGAAAGAATCCAAAAACAAAAAACATGTAGACACTGACAAAAATCAGTTTAAAAGATCTTACAGCAGGAGTTCATATTTAAAAGGAACGGCTTATCACAAAATTTCCACATCAACTAATGCAGAATTGCAACTGCCCAGCATTTTTTCACATGCTCATGGTGGACTATTATTTACATAAGTTAAAGTGGTAACACCATTTTGAGGCTGTACTTTTAATTTCTTCCACCTAACGAAATAAAAAAGAAAAATCACATTTAAACAAGTTGCAGTAAAAATTGGGATCTGATTACTATTAAACTTTTTTACATGTTTATAGAACGGTTTGATTTTAATATAACAGAAATGCAATCATGCTATTTGTTTCTCCATTTTATTAATAAATCATTTACATTTGTCATGATCACAAATTGGTATGAGATGCATGTATTTTATAATGTTTAGAATTTCAGCACACGCATGTCTTTGTGTATGGGATAAAAGGTCTTACTCTTGTAAGATATTAGAGCCTTAGTAATAGACTGTGCTTAAAAATGCTCAAAATAACTACAGTTATGAATTTCGGACATATATTTTTTAGTGTTTTTATATAATGTAGTATTTACTTTGTTGCAATATTGTATTAAATAACATGTTAGCCCTGTCCATCAATAGTAATCAGAATTATAGTTTGCACAAACTAATACTGAATAATATCAAATCATAAATTTTGCATGGAAAAAAAATTTAAAGGAATATTAAAACTTGATGCTCAATGATTTGGCAATTTTTTCAAGCTACTGTGATTATTCCAGTAGTATAATTTGATTTACTCAATTTATTTTGCATAATGCATAAAACAATGTTAACATACAGGGTGTTTATAAAGTTCCGGACCCATTTTGATGTTTAATAACTCATAAAATAATAAAGATATAAACAAACTTATGGCATTTATTGATGGAATAACTTATATATTTTCCTTTTCAGGTTTGAATATCTTTATTTTTGTATATATCATCTGCGCGTGTGGTTAATTTTAGATAATTTCATTTTCCAGTCTAAATATATGTACTTTTCTAAATATCGTCTGCTTATTAATTGCATTTTTCTCTCTTTTGTTTTTGGCAACTATTGCAATGTTGTGTTTACTTTTGATGTGTTTGTTCTAGTACTTTTGTATGTGATGTTTTATTCGACCGGATATTAAGGAGAATAGCCTCTGTGGATGCCGACATGCTTGCTGGTACCTGGCGTGAAATTAAATATCGACTTAATAGTCTCCGTGCGATGAAGGGGGCACAGGTGGAAATTCATTGACAAGGGTCATGAAACTTTTTGAGTCTATCTAACCATTTATGTTATTAATTTTATTCTATCCTTATTATTTTATGAATTATTAAACATCAAAATGGGTCCGGGACTCTATAAACACCCTGTATTTTAATGACTTTAGGTGTTTTTTGTTCGCCCGCACAAACTGTTCATGCATTTTGAAAATATCCAATTATAATATAAGAGAAACCTTACCTTAGCTATAGCATATTACTGTGTTTAACAATATAAAAGCTAGAAGTCTTTGAAAAACCCCTTCCGTCTAATTTTTGTTTTAAAATTTGGTGGTGTCTTTCTTATAAATGGCAACTTTAGCGTATAAAACAATTTGAAGACTGTGAGAAAAGAGAAATAATCCCATTGTTTAAATGATGAATAAACCACATTGATGATTACCGTATATTTAAGTAGATAACTATTGATAACTGTTATAGCCACGTCTAGCCGAGCGATTTCAATTTAGACTTATGTCCTCTATACTGATATATCTGAGAACAAATAAATAATAATGTCTTACTAACTTTCCTCAGCTCTCTTTTGCTTTTGGAGATCAGTTAATGGTACTGGCGCTCTAAGGAAATTTTGAGGGAAAAAAATAATAAACTGAGATTCTCTTCCTAGGAATTACAGCAGGACAAAATAACTATTCAAACATATTTTACTTCAAGTGTTTGAATATTACCTCATTAAAAGCATGAGAATTTTGATTATACATACTCATAATATTTCAGTGAAGAAGCAGCACTTCTATTCGAGAAACAAATGCATAGTACTACATTATGAAAGGTTATACAAATTATTTAATTTGAAAGAGATTATATTCACTTCACAATTTTCGATATAATACGCCAAAATAATATGGTATAGTAAGAATGTGGCACATTCATCTGTGTGCTCATTTGAGCATTATTTTACAATGGATCGTTCTTAAACAAAACCAAAAGCTTCTGTTTCCGTTTCCTCGCCCAGTAATTCATTAAGGAGTTTTTGCATAAAAAAGGTGCTCTGACCTCCATGATTATTGCATCAATGTGTACTGAATTGTAAAATAATTTACTGTTTATACAAATTGATTTTAAAGTTCATACTAATTGATTTTACTTGTTGAACATTAGCGATTTTTTTTTTTTGGGTTTATAATCAACATTTCTATATCTTCTGAATCTCATTGAAAGTTTCAGTAAATTTAATAATTTTAATTTTGACAAATCTCCAACATTTCACTTAAGGTTTCCTCTGAATATCTTCAAAATAATTTGAGCCTAGGGGTCATCCTTATGAATGAAAAATGAACATTAGCGATTTACTTTAAAAAATAAGAAAATATTTCCTTTGTTTAAAAAATTACCCTCTTTTTAAAATAAATATTCTCCATCCTATGTTTTTCGGATTAGCATTATGAAGTAAAAGGGAGGTGGTGAAACCCTTGTTTTATTTTATGATTATTATTTTGTGTGTGTTTGTGTGTCTTTTCCTCTTTTTAACTGTCAAAACCATTATTTACAGTAGCATCAAAATGACTTAAAAATGTTATATTTGTTTTAAAATGTACATAGATAGAAACATATAAAAGCATATTTTATTTTAATGTCCAGATATCATTAAAAATAATCAAGTCATTAAAAGCATGTAATCAGTTTAAAATTTCTGTAATCATGGCAGAAAATTATTAGCCTAAGCATCTTTTGTAAACTTTCCTAAAGTCCATGTTTTATTTTCCATCAGTGATGTTGTCTCTGAATCCGTATCTTCTTCATAAGCGTCAGACAGTTCAGAAATTAGGAATAAAAGCTTCATCTAAATCTGCACATGATCTCCAAAACGCTTTACCATGCTTAATTCAGCTCTACTTCTGAGGTAATTTGTGTACTTATTTTTCAAATTAAAGTCTTGACATTTTTGTTCTTAAAAGTCTTTTTCTGATATATCTCCAGATACTTAGAGTCAGAAGTACGTCTGTTTTGATCCTGAACAGGTAACGGTACCCTTTCTTTATAAATTGGAAATTCTTCATTGAATATAAAATCACATGAATAGACTACCATGTTGGTTTCTTTGACTCATAGATACATCTCTCGCCTCCATGTTACCCAATTAAACACAAGATTCTGTAGCGTAAATGGATACATTTAACTTTTTTGCTTAGGTTTATGAGCATAACAAACAGATCTTACTATGCAAAGAAGTTTTATTCATGGCTTATTTTTAATCCATAATTCATAGACTCATGCTTTCTAACTATTAGACAGTTCTGTTTAGTATATACATGGCGGTGTTAACTAATTCATTCTCCAATGCTGCTGGAAAATAAGTTTCAGAATTTGAATACTTAACTTTCTAACCATTTTGATTACTGCGTACATATTTCGTTCACTGGAACCATTTGGCTCAGGAGTATGAGGTGCTGTTAGTCATTGCCTGATAGTTTCAGAATGCAAACTGCCAAATTTGCCTCAATTGTCACTAAAGAATTCTTTGACTGAATATCGAAAGTCGTAATATATTTTTAACTTGAGACTTTGTCTTCATCAGAAAAAGCCATATGAATACTTTTTAATGCTGTTTTCAAACACAAATAAGTACTTTTATCTTCTCGAAAGTTTTGTCAGAAGATCCACATATGCCAACTGAAAATTTCAGGATTTACAGAGAAATTATTCCGCGGGGAGATTCATGAGGCTCGCAGACTTTCTTTCTTATGACAAATATCTCTTATGACATTTGTCATAAGAAAGAAACTAACTATGTCTCTTATGACAATGTCAAATGCTACTTGAATGCCTAATTCTTTCTTAAACATGTCCTTAACAGGATGTTTATCTTGATGTCGCCATCTTTAATAATATAACTACGACTAAGATGTCTCCTTCAGAAGCATACATTTCTATTATATGTATTTTTAGTATAACTGGTTCAATAGGCCCCTTGTACAAAGTATTGTATAAAATGCGAATTCCATACATTACAGCTTGACCGTTCATTTCAACCAGGACTCTGAAGCTGATGAAATAATTAGCACCAAGTACAGCAAATACATTTCGGTTTAATTCAGGTGCATATCAGACATCTTTTAGATAGATTATTTGGTTTTTATAACCTATACTTGTTGTGACAAAAACTGTAGCTATCTTAAGGGCAACTAAAGCTTCTTTTTCAGCAGCTTTGATGCTACAAGGACTTTGAAACTTAACAAAATCAGTAAAGTGTGAGAATCAGTTCCTGACATGTCCTGTAGCTCTACTGTCAATTCAAAATGATGTTAGATCACTTTCAAATGTACAGGTTTTTCTCGTGAATGGACATTCAGTGCTTTCTCGAATAGTTTTGACTGACCTATTCCTGGGTGGTCTCGCATCAATAATCCACTGTTTGCAATCTTTTTAAGCAGTGTCCTTTTTGCTTGCAATAATTAAATAATTATTTTAAATGTCTTCTCTTCTTGATTTTTTTCTGAATTTGACTCTTATACTGTTTTTATTTCCCAAATTTTGAAATTTCTAATGCCACTTGTTCACTTATACTGCCTTTCTCTCGGCTTTTGTTTTCTCTTTTAAGAATGCAAAAACAGTATTTTTGGGGTAAGCTATCTAAAATCTTCCAGCAAAGCAGAATGTCAGGTAACATATTTTCATTTTTCTTCTTAACTCCAGAATTCAACTCTTCCATAAATTCTTTAACTTGGGAATATGAGCTGCCATATTAACATTTTCATACCACTTGAATTGGAAAAACTACATGTGGATACTATTATACTACTGATTTTCCGACGGTGCTTCAAATAACTTACGCAATTCCAACTAAACGTGTCTAGCAGTTTGGAATCTCATAACGTTTTTAAGAGTACCTCAGTCTTAAAATTCGTTAGTAGTATCATAGTACTAATATTTGCGTTTTAAAACTTCTTAACAGTTATTATATTTCTCTTGTTGAGCAACCGAACACGTACCGAAAGATTTTCGGGTTTCACTTAAAGTTCGTTAACAATTTCTACAGTATATGTATACTACTTTAAAACATATTTTATTCTATATTACCAAACAAACCAATCACCTTCCCCAGCTGAAGGCTATACTTGGACCTTAGTTCCATTTATTTCTAAACTACTTTTGTTGCTATGACGAAAAGGTAATACTGACGAGATTAGGCTTAAAGAGCTTCCTCCTGCTCTACGAGAAAACATCATCCCATACTGCCTGGCAAAGCATGGGAACGTGCTTAACCCTTAACGTAAAAATACGTTTTAAAACTAAAGCAAAAATAAGAAGTTTGATTGAAATTACTAATATACTAAATCATGGAACACACGCTCAGAATAACAAATCTGATTTATGCATTGTTAAACATGTATTCCAAACATACACATGAATATTTTCCATTGTTTGCACAATATAAACAAATATACAGGGTGTGTTAAAGATCTGTTCCTTATTCTTTAATATTAGGACTATTGCAATATCTTACAAACATTTTTTTAAGACAGAGATAATTACTTACGATGTTACAACTAGGTAAATCAGCAGTGATACAGTTAAAGCTGCAGCAATGGCGCAAATGGCAATTACAGCTATAGCCCAGTTTTCTACACCTTTAGCACTGGTTGATTTTTCTGATGTTTCCGCAGCATTAGGAAGTGCTGAAAAGGAAACAGAAATATGAAGTTGGTAAAATGAATATGAAATACTGAATAACAAAAAGAGAAAAAGAAACTACATAATTCGATTAACATATATATATATATATAATTTATTTACTAAAGAAATATTGAGTATATCATCTCCTAATATAAATTTAGTAGAATGTATCAAAAAGAGGGAACCCATATGTAGGAAGTTTATATGGGTTCCCTCTTTTTGATACATTCTACTAAATTTATATTAGAAGATAATACAGTACAAAGTCTTTAAGCCGGACTCGTCGGGGCTTCGGCGATTTCGCATTAGGGGTTTTTCCGGATTATAGATTGTAGAGTTCCTCACTTTGGAATTCTAAGTTAATGTTGGAAGTGAAGAATCTAAGAACTGATAAGCGAATAATAGCTTGAGTTCGGTGACAAGAAACAACAAGATAGAAGGGTAACTAACCCTTTATTATTCTAATAAGATTTAGCAAAACTCCGCCTGGGAGTGTACAAGCAAAGCCCGCACTTGGACTTGAACTTAAAAGACTAAAAATTAAACTAAAACTAAGATTAACTAAAGAAGTATAGCCGAAGCTATCAAGGTTCAAATCAAGTTGGCCCCTTAACTTATTTGACTACGAAGCTTAGCAAGGGTCTGAGTACGGCCGAGCGTAATAACAGCTTTTAGAGAGAGTGGCCAAAAAGGCAGACGCGCGTAAATCAGAAACTCTGATTCTTTCTGACTCAGTAAGTAACTTCGTGGTTTAAATACCGCTCCTCCTCATTAAATATTCAGCAAGATTCTAAAACTGCGTTCTGGCCGGAAGTAGTAAGTTGAAGTTAAGAATTTGACAGGAAAGGAACTTTAACTTAAAATTTAACTGTTAATAAAATTAACATAATCCTTACAAGATCATCAATTTAAATCTGGTAAGATGGCGTGCAGAAATTATAAAATTAAAAATATGAAACCGTAATTTATGAAATAAAGAGCAATTATGATCTAAAGGGTATCAAAATTTACAAAAAGAAAAGCTTAATATTTATTTGTTTACTTTATTAAACATTCTTTCAAGGTAAGTTGTTTAAGTTGTTTCGTTTTATGTGCTAATTCTTTCTCTTTATATGCTAATACTCTTTATGTGCTAATATTCTTTAATTCTATAAACAGACATAATTTCTTGTTCAGTTACAAAGTTCGTCTGTTCAAGTCCTGTAATTGCTGTGCCGCGAATACTGACTAACTTGTCAATCGAAATTTTTTCGTTTTCAGTAACCTGTCTGTCACTTTCTTCATGCCTTTATCCATTTTTTGCAGCAATTCCACTTTTTGATGCGGTAGGAAGGAAATTGTCAGTTGTTTGAAAGAACTTTGAGGAGTGGACGCAATTCCCATTTGAAGGAGAAAAGTCTCCCCATATTTCTAGAATTATAAATGTTTATTGCTGGGTGTTGTGTTTAATGAAAGTACTAGTTAGTTGTGCATAAGTTGTAACGTGTTAACTTTACTTCGTGACCCGTTTCTGGCTCGGTTATTACAATTATTCCATATCCATGTATTCGCATTCTTAATTATTTCGAAATAGAATGCCTTGCTACAAGTATTTTTTATCAAACTTGCTGATGTTGAAAGCAAAAACTGTAACCAGTTTTAAGAAAGCAATACCTTATGTTTGTTAAACAACAGCTTCATTCTTAAATTCAGGTGACAGAATTAATTTACCATAACAGTAATATAACTGTAAGTTTCATCTATTGCACATTTGTTTAGGGTAAATGAAGCTTTAATTCTAAATGAAATATACCTCGGCAGAAACTTCGACCTTTACAGGTACCAATAACAGGTGTAGGGCTGCATTTGAGATTTCCTGTTGTATGGCACGTCCTGATAAGAATCTTTTGTTTAGGGCCTTCCAGAGCAGCAGATTGTAGGGATGAAGAAATGGACGAAGAGGACGATTCTGAATCTGAAGATAAAAGGCTGTTTTTGTCCCGCCTCCTTCTTGCAAGAATCTATATTTTGCAGGGAAAGTAAATTAAAGAAAGTAAAAACTTCAAAAAATTCATCTAACTTCTGCAAATAATGGTTTGAAATTAATTTGCTTAAGGTTCAGTAAAAGTTACTTAGTAATAAATACTTGAGCTTCAAGTCTACAAACGTTGAAATAGTTCTTTCTTTACGTTTATAAAAATAAATTTAAAAAAAAATCTGGAAGGGATGAAATTTAAACATTCGCCCAAAAGCGTATTTTTAAAGTTTAATATGATTTATTAATCGCTTTTCTAGCGGGCCACAGGGTACTTAAAGAATGGACATTTAGACTAACGTGGGAACGTTATGTATCTCGCACGTATTTGAGAAATGAAAAAAAAAAAATATATATATATAATATGACTCGGTTAAAATATTTTTTTTTAATTCGCCAGACCATCATTTAAATGCATTTTTATTCAAGTGAATCGGATTCAAAAGAAAAAAAAAAAAGTTTTCTTAACATTCGCATCAACTGTTTTGAAACAGCTTAGTTCATTCATCAATAGTACACAGACTAAATTGGAAAGATCTCACATTTTTTCAATGGCTGCAAACTAGAGCGAAAAGCGAAACAACGTACTAAAGTAAAACGACGCAAAATCGCGTTTTGCTCTTTAGGGTTAACGACATACGCATGTTTATATATGTGTAAATACGCAATAAAATATAATAATTTATAAAGCTAAGTTCGGAAGATGGGACCTGTGGTTATTAAAGAGGTCCTGTCGAGACTTGTACTGTGCTGAATGAGGATTTTAGCAACGTTTTATGCATTATGATTCTAAATTTACAAACGATGTTTACTCTAAAAGTAAGTGGTAACTTGGATGTAAGAAGTTATTCAGATGCATTGTACTGAACACTATCAACTAGGTATATTAATGTACATCATATGTGGTGTTCACATATTTGCAGAGTTTCTGTGTAATATTTGCTTATCACATTCATGGTGTTATTCACTTATTTACAGTTCGCTTACAATTCACTAATGTATAGTCTACTTGATTACTGAAGGTGACGCTGAGACATACAAATCAGTGAGTAGAGTTGAAAATTCGTGTGCTCATTGAAAAACGTGTTTTACATCTGCTTGGCATTTTGTACCGTTTACTGGTACAGAACACTTAAAGATGTGACTAGAAAATTTTAAGTACATTATACCACCACTCAGCCGCTAGATCTGTGCTCAAAGCTCTTCTTTTTTTTAATTCTAGGCTGCTTTTAGATTTTCGCAATTCATTGCCAGGTAGTCTATGAGAGTTTTAAGTTTGTCTCTTAGTAGCTTACTCTTTTTTTGGTGTTGTTTCAAACATACCTAGGCATTTTCAGCTGTATACGGCCGGAAATGTAAGTCTTTGATGATTTCGCACTCGAACTTGTAGTGATCGATACCTGTTGAGTCGCATATGCATGAATGCGTGCAGTGCTTTCTGAAGCAAAAGAGATAGACTACAAAAGGGCCATGCGCTGTCAGGAAATATGTCGTTGCTCTGCCGGTACTAGTCAATTCCCTTGAGGGCACCGGGAAGAAGTTAAATGTCCCCCAGCCTGTTAGTGTCCAGTTAGTTTTTCACAGAGACATTAGGTCCCGTTTCAGTCTTGATTTAAGATGTGATAATACAATTAATTGGCAGAGAGATAGCTGCGGCAACTTGTCCGTTTGCACTATCTCTTACCAGTTGGTCGACTGATTCATTGCCTATTGTGTCCACCATGGGTGCGTGTCTAGTGAGGCTTGGGACTGGTATTCTCTGGGAAGTAGTTAAGTATTGAATTTCTCTTGCTAGTGGTGAGCGACTCAGTTCAATTATTGCCTGTAGGCTTGAGGCACTAACGGAAATTATAACACTTTTTTCTTGTTGTTTTCTGGCAAATTTCGCACCTTCTATGACAGGTAACAGTTCAGCTTGGATTAATGAATTTGTGCTGTCATGTTTTAAAGAGCACATTAATTTTATAGGCACACAAGGCACTTCCGACATCCATTTTAGTTTTTGATCCGTCCGTTAGATTCGAATTGGGAAACGGTCTATTGGAGAATTCACTATTTGGTTTTATGTGTACAAGCGACAAGCGATGGAGGACGTGGGCACTGTCCCTTTACCATAATGGTTAATCAGTACAGCACCACGTTTACCAATATCTAGAGCGGTCCAGAAGTGCAGAACATAATACAAAGGACTTGGACTTTTCTAGTTTACAGTGCAGACATTGTTGTGCATAATGCGCCACAGGTGTCCACAGATAGATATATGCACATTACAATGTGCAAATGGCTTATTTATGCCTTGTGAATATCCTGATGACATAGTTTTGTACAGTACCCACTCAATTCTTACCTTATAAACACATTAGGAATACTTACAATATACGCTATAAAACAGACATATGCCATATTTAAACACAGTGATTATGCTGATGATCAGGGTATGCAGGATGGTTTACAGTACAGGTAACGCTATAATCACATGTTACGTGGTTACAATTACAAACGCATTTCAGTTACTTTGCAATTACGCATGCATTACAATACTCTTACATTATAAATACATTAGAATTACACATACATTACGATATACGCTATACAATAAACGTGTGCTATATTTAAGCGTAGGTGATTATGCAGGTGACCAGGGTATGCAGGATGGTTATAAAGTTCCGGTAACGTCACAGTCACATGATACATGGTTACAATTACACATACATTACAATACTCTTACATTAAAAATACATTAGAATTACACATACCTTACAATATACACTATACAGTAAGCGAATGCCATTTTTAAGCATAGTGATTATGCAAATGACCAGCACACATAAGGGAATAAGGGGAAGACATTTGAGGATAAGAAGGATCAGCGATTTGTGTGTGCTATGATCAGCTTTTGCTGGAGGCAGAGTTCTCAAATCTGCTGCAAATCTCGTTTGAATTTCTTTGGAGTTGATATCGGGTCTTGCCTCTGACGATGAAGGCTGCATCGTCTGCGTAAACGAAGACTTGAGTGTGTTGAGGCCAATTCGTCTTGAGAATTTTATCAAATGTAAAATTCCAAAGATCGGGACCCGCACAGGACCCTTGGGGGCATCCTTTGGTCTGTCTGCGTGATATTATGCCGTTATTGTGTACTATAAGTAGCTGTCTGTCTTCAAGATAGTTGACCAGGGTATTGTGGATGTTTCGCGCGCACTGTGCTTCTTTCAGGGCCTGTATGATGGCGGGTCCCCGCAAGGTGTGCTTTAAACTGTTTATGAGAAGCTTTTCGAAGATTTTTGCCTAGGGCTGAAAGTAGGCAAACTGGGCGGAAGGAATTGGCAGCTGGCGGGTCTCTATTCTTCTTAAGGAAGAGCACAACTTGTCCAATCTCTAAAACTTTGGGAAATGTGCCCGCTTGTAATAATTTGTGGAAGTAGTTCCGGAAGAGAGGGACGCTCGTAAGAATGACCGCCTTAGTTATATTGTAATCCACCCCGTCTGGGCCAGGTGCCTTCTTTTTGGGCAGGTGGTGCAGAATGTGCAGAATTTCGGCCGTCGTAAACTCCGTATTGTCGGGAGTGCTTGACATGCATGTTGCAGAACGCACAATTGCTTGGTTTGGTCTATCTTCAGCAGCAACATCTTGAGTGAAAACGGAATCGAAGATGTTATTTAGCATCGTTTCCATATGACTGCTTGAGGATTGAGAGGAGGACTGCACTGTTGGTTGAATGTAAAGTTGTGCTGGCTTAAATATTTTGTCAGTGCTAATTTTGTGGTGCAGGCCGTAAACTTCTCGATTCTCTGTGCAGAATTTGCGCCAGCAAATGATTTTTGCTTGTATTAGCATTTTTCTGTAAGTCGCGCGTTCTCGTTGGAAGTCTCATAGGTAGTCCTCCAGGTTGCGACCTTTTGTATCCGTATTGGGTAGCCCCAGTTGGTGCTGTGAGCATTGAATTCTCTTACAATAATCTGCTTATGGATTTTGTGCTGCTGGTGAATGCTGTTGAGGAAAGTTAAAGTTATGTCCAGCTCAGATGTTGGGGGACTGTACACTGAGATGAATGCTGCTGGAAGATCTCCCACTTCCAAGAGAATAGCCACGTTGTCCCTGTCTGCTCCGAGAACTGCAGGGGTCCAGTCCGGGTTGCAGCAAATGATGGCTGCACGGGAAGGCTCGTCTGAGTCTTCCTTTTGATAGATGTTCCACTAAAGCGGGAAACCCATAACCTTGCCTTTCTTTGTGTAAGGTTCTTGTAGGAGAAGCAGATCGAATTTAGATCTGAGAACGTGTTCAGTTGCCTGCGCCGTCGCGGTTCTAGTTCTTTGTAAGTTAATTTGTACGCAGCGTATTTTTGAATCTGTTTGGTCTGGGTTAGGCTGATTGTGGAGTGCAGAATGTCGGCTGTGGTGGAGTGAGGTCAAGACTGGGTGAAAGCATTAGACGTAGAGAGTACTTCGTATGACATGTTCAACATAATTCCGGTAGTTGGGGCAGGCGGTTGCGTAGGCAGGATGATCTGTTGGGGTGTTGTTGCCGGTTCTATAGTTGTGGTCGGAGCAGTTAATACATGTTTGGGCTGCCGGCTGTGCAGTCTCTGATCCGACTTTTTGCATGAGATCCTGTGCAGTAAGCGCACAGTGGTCCTGTGTATGTCCTTGTGCTTGACACTTGAAGCAGCGCTTCGTGTCGAAGTACTCGGTGATGGAGTAAGGATGCCAGCCGATGTAGTCTGGAACGTAGTATGCAGATCTGGAAAACTGCTGGAGAGCACTCGACGATCTACTTAACGTTGTTGCGTTCCTTGAGTCTGTAAAGGACTGTTGCGGCTTCATTTGGAATGCTCAGTTCTGAACCGAGAGCTTTTTTATGTCCTGTTTTTGGAAGTCCGATGGGTGCTGTGCTACTGAAGTCTAGAGTTGATTTGAGCTTCTTTATCTCTTCGGCTGCATTGCAGACGACTGCTATGCCCCTTTTCTGTATGGGCCTGAAGGCTGAGA